AGAAATTAAAAGCCTCCGATGAACAGCGACTAACTGTCTGACTTGGAATAAAGCTAATAGATACAAATATTAACAGAGGGCCAAGTAAGTACTGCTTTATAGGTACTTTCATTTCATGCATATAATTTGAACAAAATGTGGCCAGGAGTAAAACCAAATAAAATGACTTGCTAAGCTTCTGTAGTTCAAACTCTGTGCACATGCCGAACGATTTCTCTCTCATCCATTGCTCTTAGTTACATCCCCCGTTTTCCTCATTTTCCGGACCTAGGACAACAAGAATCTAAGTGTCTGAGGCAGGGAGACTCAGCGAGGAACACTCAAACCAAGCTACTACCCTCAAAAAGCTGTATTTTTGGACCAATCCAAGAAAAGCTCTTAGAGAAAACAGGGCTAGGACATGGGACCCCAGGAGTACAGACAATACACAACTTATTGCGCAGCTGACGGGCTTTGCTTCGTCTAGACAGGCAATTAAAGGATTAGATAAAACTCACAGATAAAAAACTGAAGCTCTCAGCACAGGAGTGGCTTCCGTTTCAGGATGACATAATTGGTGAATGTAAATGGGAAAACAATTGAGTTGCAGAAGCAATCGGGCGTCGTAGGCGAAACGAAAACGAATTCAAATTCGAAATGAAAACGAAATTATTGCAAAATCTAGGCACGCACACAGACATTCGACTAACGGTGGCTCTCTCGCTCTTCCTCTCTGGTTTTCCCAGTGCGCATGTATGTGTGTGTGCTGGCGAAAAGTGCATTGACTTATCTGTTTGCTGGTATGTGTGCTTACTTGTCGGTGTGTTGGTGAATGGCATGTGGCCAAGATTGCAATGGCCAATTCCAATTTGTAATTTGTCTGATGCAGTTCGGTATTCCCCTTTTTTATGGCCACGAGGAAAATATCATAAATTGCGGTATTGAGCAAGCTGTTGGGGTGTTTGTTTGTTGACCTAGGTGGACTTAGATTCCTTTCATAGTTGGGTGTGTCCTAAAAGTGATTCAACGGTCTATTTCTAGAATACTTAGGAATGCACTAAGAATGCTAAAAACATTCAACTTTAAAATCAAGTACAATGGAAAATGGCATTTTCAGGTAGTACATCAAAAGCAAATATTGTTTCTCCACTTTCATCTGGCGTAGGCACTTCACAAGTGTTAGTTATTACAAAGGAAACAAAAAGTGCAAGTTTTACCACCTCACAACGCCCTGTCACACATGGCGTATTGTACGAGTACATTAGTGTAATCACGTCGCGCATACGCCCATTTGTACCGCGCATACAATCGCTATGAGTGCAATCAAAAGCAGTGCACTTTACTGCCCTTTCCAACATGGTCGCATCCGTTTCATTGTATCAAATGTGCGAAATCCGCAAAGTGACAAGAATAAGAAAGTGGATGGGTGCAAAACTAGTTTAGTAGGAATCCGAGAGATCATTTGCATTGTGCTGGCAAAGTTACGTGGCGCTTAATTGAATAAGTGCCCTGGCCAGCGGCTTGGATCGAGACGAATGTGTGCTAAATTGATTGAGCTGCAACTGGAGTGCCATAAATTAACGGACAAACATGGACGGAGTCTGCAGCGGGTTGCATATCGTATAATTTCCACAAAAAAATCACAAAAACCCAGGCCAAAACGGAGACAGAAAGCGAAAACTGGGTCAACCTGATGCAGAGCGGCCTACGCAGCTCCATTCAGCAACATTCACATCCACATCCACATCCACATCTAGTTCGTTGTCTATCCGGCCGCAGACGCTACAAATATGTAACTCAAAAAAGATATGCAGCTGCAGATGCATGCCAAAAAATTGCAAAAAAATGCACAAATAAAATAAGTAAAGGCAGAGGCAAATGGTAAAAAGTGTAACCCACGTTTCGCTTCATTTGCTCGCACTGGAAAAGTAAAAACGGCAGCTACACGACGCCAATTTGATGTCTGCTGGATTTCACCCACGCAGTTGCCAATAAAAAAGCAGCAGCACCATTAACGGCAGGAAAAACCACCATCGAACTTCCAAACTTCAAACTTCCACTTTGTGTATTCACATCAAAAAGCATTAGCAAGAAAACCCAGCTCTATCAACAATTCACACTTAAGTTCTATTATCTACTCAATCAAATTGAATGCAAAGTTAAATTCCAGCCACCTATCCACCATACCCCGTGTCCACTGTACCGCTGAGGGAGATGGAGAGATTTGCGCTGCCCACAAAATCGTGATTCCGCCAGTTGCCGCCGCCGCCGCCGCCGCCGCCTGCCACAACGTTCACTTTCAAAATCAGTGAAATGTGACCAAAAAAAAGTGAATTGATGTTGCATTGTGCTCAGCTGTCTGTTTGTTAGCTATTCGCATTATTCACTTGGCTTACAAATAGAGGTTAATTTATTGTGACTTGATTGAGTCGAGCATGCGCCTAAAATATGCCAGAGAAACTGCATCTGCAACTGCTGAAGGTGAGGAGTCAGTAAATTATACAATTATAGTTGCGATTTCTTGAATTTGCTATCGGAAAGATGGGCATGCAATGCTTTTATTTTTTTTTAATTTTTTTAGAAATTTTGTAGTGGCTAATAGCTTCTTATTGCTGATAGATGTAGGTCCTAAGATTGTAAAGCCAATTTATATATCTGCATTCTTGATCGCTGATTTTCAATATCTCTAGTTTGCCTGCTGTCTGCATGCGTGCTTAATGTCAAATTGTCGTGGTCCTACCACAATGCGAATTGTTTGTCTCAATGTCAATGTTTTCCATGCTGTTGGAATCAATTACACTGGTCCAGAACTCCACTCGCACATGGGAACGAGTTTAAGTTGGAAATGCAGATACAGATACATTTACTGATGCATATGCATGCTTCAGATGCAGATAAACATCCAAGCGAAGAAACCAGATGAAAACCGCGCACTGCATCCGACAACGACCTTCGGCGCCGATCTGACATTGAACACTGGCCATAAATGGAGGCATACTCATGTACGTTGTACACTGTGCATTGCACATGGTACATTGTACATGGCACATTGTACATTGTACGCTACTTGTACATACCTTCTCGCCTTTTGTTGCTGCACATGCTGTTGACATAATTTAGCAGAGCGTACACCGGAAGAAATACTGCACCTTCGAATATAGGCCAATGGGTTGTGTTTCTTTATATTTTGAATGTCTAAATGATCCTTAATGAAATGATTCCCAAAGAGATTTATAAACAACATTCCACATTTGTGTAACTTCGTTTTGATTGGCATGATTTCTTCCGAGTGCATCATCATCCATTTCTTGCGGTGCATGCAAAGTGCGTGCTTTGCTTAGCGCTTTTCGCATTTAGCCAATTAACCGAATGGTGCCGAATTCAGTTGGCGATGCAGATGGAAATGGAGATGTCGGTGACGCGCGCACATTCCGATCCGCAGCGATACGATCCAAGCCAATACGCTGCGCGTTTTCAGTTGGCACTTCATGTTGCAACAACGGCAGTTGCCGCTGCTGCACTGCTGCACTTGACTTACTTGCCTGGCAGTGTTGCATCTGGTAACTGACATCGCCATCGCCATCGCCATCTGCGCAATGCATTTCACTTTCATTATGATGCAGTCAGTTTTTGCCACTAAAAATGGCAACGGGGCAATGCCAATGTGTGGTTTTTCCAAGCCAAAATGAAAACCAGTCGAGGCGAGAGGCTGAGAGTGCGTCCGTCTCCGTCTCCGTCTCTGTCTCCACCTCCCCATCCCGCTCGCACTGATTGGCAGCAGCAGCAGCAGCAGCAACTGCAACTGCAACAGCTGACAGCTGCACTCACCTGGAAACTCACCTGGAGTCAACTCACCTGGCCTACCTGTGTAGGCGTCGCTTTTCGTCGGTTTTCGTCTTTTGTTTCTGCCTCGCATGGGTTTCGTTGCTTGTTTTTACTTTCTTCTAATAGATCGTTAGCTGTGCCATGAACTTGCAATTGATTGCTTATTGTTAAATGAAAATGGAAAGTCATTTTCCAGGCATTGCAGGCATTGCTTTTCCTTTTTCGTGGCTTTTCATTAACGACGCCTTTGTTGCCACAGCAAAGGCAGCCGAGCCAGCAGAGGCTTTCCCGAAAATTGTGCAAGGGGGTCAAGCATTTAACGTATTCTTGACTTGCGCTGCCCGTTTTTATTGATTTGCCAGCTGAGCAAACGGAAAGCGAAAGTAATTACCCTTAGTCATGTCCACACACAGATACCCCTATATGTATGGATGTGTACAAGTATGTGTACACACCCAAATACCGGCCAGATATACATAGATATCGTACGGGTTCTCACAAAAGAGTTCCCCAAGAAGTCGAGCGATAAATGCAGCAACCCCAATTGCATTCACAGACCCTCCACTCTGTGCGTGTGTGTGTGTGTGTGTGTAGGTGTAGGTGTGTAGGTGTGCGAGTGAGTTTGCTGCAGTGTGCGTAATTCGCCGCCCCTTCCTGCCCCGCCCCCCCTGCCACAGGGCACACACGCAACAGAATCAATTTTTATTGGTTACACAACGACGACGCTAGCAGCGAAGGAAAAGTCCATTGACCCCGACGACGACTCATGACTTTTAGTACTTCTTGGCATACACTTCATAAGGAGTATGCCGAGCCTAGTCATTCACCTTGCAACATGTGGGCAAATGGCTATAGATGCCACATAGTTTTGGAGATAGAAAAGAACAGTTTTAGGTCAAAGGGTCGAAATCCATCAATCTATTTACTAATTTAGCCGATTTGCGAAACGATTATTGAGGCACTGAATAATCTTTCTTTTTTAATAACTAGAGATTTTAATTATGAAGGGTATGTTTCACTGCAGTCTGAAGAATCGGGGGCAGCCACCCGATGTTGTTTCTTCAGTTGAGTTACTTTGAGTAAATAGCCGATGCATCGGCTACTGTTTGTTTTGGTCAGGCGCAAAGATCTTTCGGTTGCCTCGCTGGGATCCGCGGAGGAGGATCCGTCACTAATGGGAAATCAACAAAAGCACGCTTGGGTAAACACATTTATTTGTTCACGTGACTCAAGTTGTAACCAATTCAATACTTCTGTTCCCGCTCAGAAACGCCAGGTGCCCCGAATGCCGCCACCGAAGTCGTTCCGATTAAAGTCGAAATTCCGGCTGGCCTGGGCGTAGGCGTCAATGCTGCCACGCCCATCGCCAGTACTGTATAGATTGTGGTTGTACTGCACCCTGGCCTCCCGACCCATTGGACTGTCCTTACTGGCGGTTAGAACCACGGAACCTCCCTCAGGCGATCGAGCCCGGCGGGCCAAGGGAAGCACTTCGAGCAGCTCCTCCGAATCGGGCTGCCAATCCTTGTGATATGTGTGAGGAGAGGAGGCGCTTAGGGCCACTGAGCAGCAGACCACGAGGATCAGGAATGATCCGCACTTGGTAAGGAACATCTTTGCTGGCTACTGGTTTAAGTCAAACTGGTGAGGAGCTTGGAGTTGGTCCGCGGTTTTATAGGAGCAAGATGCGTTTCCAAGGGATTCACCAGCGGGGACTTTTACTTGGGGCCCATTGTCTCTTATCAACTCGAAGCGGTGATTTTTGTGAAAGGTTAATCACAGTCCGGGATTCTTATCAGTGACTTGTAACAAAAAGAGAGCAATAATCGCAAATTGGTACATGCAGTCCAAGAAACCAGTTTATAAATAACCAATTCAGCTTACTTTCCACCCTTGAAGACTAACATATAAATCAATACTAACTAGCTAACTAAGCCACCAAATATTACTATTCTGCTAATGTAGCTAATCTTAGTTAATCTTGAGCTTAAGATGAAACACTTGCGCATAAACTAAGCCTTCAATTGGTATTAATTTCATCTGGGAATCGACATTATCCATACACGTATGTAAGTATATCTAAATACACGGTAATTCCCAACTGATTAGACTGCTTTCGACGGGTTCCTAATCAGGCCGAAAGAGGGGCGCGTTCGCCCATAACTTTTCTTTTCTAAACGCATTTGAATCGGCCTACGCAACAGACTCTTTGAGATAAGGCCGCACGCACCGGCGTTGCCGAAAGCTCCCAATAAAGAACACAAGCAGTCGGCGGGGGAAAAAAGCAGAAAAATCATAAAAGAGAATTTAGTTCAAATGGGTTCATTGACCCAGAAACGAAGAAATCAAAATTTAGTTTTCCCGTGCGTGCGATCCACGCACGATTCCCTGTGGACTCGATAGATCGTACGCTTTTTGTATTAGTTATCAGCGCGGCGTCACCGATTAGTACCCACAAACCGGGGAATGCATATATATGTACATGCGGTATCTGTGTGCATGAATAAATGTACATATGTACATATCAACTTCTAATCAGAGGCGAAACCCTTGCAAACCTCGCCGTGAACTTGAATTCGAATGATTGTGAAAGTATTATACTACGAAATTCGGAGTGCTGCGGCACACTCTCAATTCCTTTCGGCGACGAGAACTGATTTCTAATCACATTTTCGAGTGCGGTAATTAGATGTGCGTACTGCTGGCCCGCGCTCCCGATGCGAAAGTCTTTCTTTTTGGCCCGTAGATCACTTGCGGGTGAAAGTTTTTGCATGGGTACGTAGCGCTACTGCGGCTCCGTGTTTCTTTCATTTGCTCCACTGGACTGCGGCCTTATCTATTGAATATCAAGTTGTGCATTTACATCTTTTGTCACCTGTGGCTATTTATCTCAGAAAACTCACTCCGACGCCCACGGGGCGTATACACAATGCGGAGAAGAAACCGAAACGGGCAAAGAAGCACGGCGGAAAAGATACAAAACTTCACAGACACGTGTCGATATCCGAGAAGTTGCCGAGTCATAATTGTAAAATTTTATAGATCTCCCCGAGAATCCGGAGGCCTCTCAGCTAGAAAAACAATTAAGCCCCAAAATATCAAAATTCATTGAATGAAAGTCTATACGGAATATATCGCTGTGTCTGCCCCTTGGACAGCCATTTGTCTAGGCACAAAAAAAAATAAAAACAACAGACGGCAAAAAATGCGTGGCGTACGCACGCTTTCAAAATAAATTATATATGCGGCGATGATACGATTTTATATAGACAAATGCGTTTATATATATACACATATAAATGTATATACTGTATATCCGCCGGTTTTCGTACGAGTATGTGACTGTGTTTCGCTTGTTGTTTTCAAAAGATTTATTTGCCAAAAAATATGACGACGAGAAGAGCCGTAAAATACTGTGTGCTGAAATCGCAAATGGGCAACTTTTTGCGGCTGCCCCTTTTTGTGTGGTTTTGCTCTTCAGCTTTGTCAACAAAGGAAGGAGGAAAATGCAGATTACAATGAATAAGAGGAGCGACAGGGCGGAAATATCAGTTGGCTGTAGCGAACTCCAAAGTCCCTATTTTGGTTAAATTTAAGAAACCGACGCAATCCCTTAGTGAATTCAGCAAAATGGATTATTATTCAAGTCGAGTGATTCAATATTCCGAAAGTACAGAAAATATTTAAACAACAGAGCTTTATGTTGCTATAAATAGATCGCAAATAAAATATAAAGTTGGTTAAAAATAGTTTGCTTATCTGCTACACAAATTAGTGTTTTATTTATGAATTGCTTATAAATGGCTTAATTTCCTATAGCTTAACCAGCCCGAAGCAAGATTTAAGAAAGTGTCACAGCATTTTTCGACTTGAGTGAATAGCTACTTAGTATTGTTATACTTTAATTTGCCTGGGCCGTAAACCATTTAATACTATTTTGATTACCAATCAGTTACCTGAATGCATTATCATAAAAAATCTATAAGTGATTAGGCTGCAAAACACCGAAAACGAACCCATTAATTCCAACTTAATGAAATCTAAACTCAAAAGACCCCGCAAAGAGGAAACTTTGGATACTTCGCAGAACGGCGAATCGAGAGTGAAGTGAGGAGATGTGGATGCTTGTGGTGTTTTTATTATTATGGCTGCTGTGCTGTGCTGTGTTGTGTTGAGCGTTGCGTTTAAGTCAAGTTCAAGGACTGTCAATTAAATTGAAATCACTTGCTAAAGACGCGTCGCAGCGAGCAGCCAAACAAGCTTCCAGATGGGTAGACTCCGCACTTTGGGGCGGCGGAGGAGCACGGCTCCAAGTGGGGAGCCGCTTCTTGTGTATCTATCTTGTATGTGGATCTCTCACTTTTTGCTTGACTTTGCCTTGCACGCAGCCCGCTTACATTGTTGTTATTGCGGATGCTGCGTAGTTACAGTGCGGTAATTGCCGCTGATGATCGTGATTCGTCTTCCTCCTGGCCGCCTCCATGGGCTGCTATCTTCTAGGCTGCTCTTGAATGGCTCTTTTGTATGTCACCCCGGCTCTGCGGCTTCGAGCCAGTCAAGTGCGACTTCTGGTTCCTTAATCGCTCCCAAACGGTTGCCAACCAGCAACCAGCAACCAGCATCCAGTATCCATCATCCAGCCTCCAGTCCCCGACATACAAATACATCTCGAGTGGGGCTGCTTTTGTCCATCCGAAGAGAGGGCGTGTCGCTGGAGAATGTGGGAATTCATCTCATATATTCGTGATTGGCATGGGGAATTGGGGCTGTTCGAGTGGTCTGGGGAGTGTCAAGCACATGACTTCGAAGACAAGTTCAGCATTTGGAAACATATGTTATGTACAGACACATGCCTGCTCTAGATGAAGTGTTAGAAAAATCTTGTAGTCAAACTATGAGTACTTTCCCTTATTTGAGTTCTACATTGAGCAAATCCGAAGGAATAACTTGTATGTAGGCTGCGTTTTTCCATACCCCCTGGGACTCATGCTAAATCCGTTTGAGATACGTATTCATAATGAAAAGCCATCATCTGGCTGATAGTGGCCACTGAAGTCGGACGACTAAGGCGGTAAACACGACCCCAGCCCAGCCCAACGACAATGCACGGCCAGGGGCAATTCCTAACTGTGTTTTTAGGCCAACTTTCAGTTTCTCGAAATGCGAATCGAGGTTTTCGTATCAAATGTGGCCACAGCCAGCGGGCTGAGACGCTCAAAATAAATGCATAATTAATGACGATTTGGCTGTACGTATTTGTTTCTCCAGTTGATTAGCATAATGCCAAATACATACAACACCATATAAAATTATCAGCCCGGGCTTGTGAATAATACTTATTTGTGTACAACTTTACACGTGCTCTAGCGAACGAATAAAGGAATATATCGAGCCAGTAAAAATCGATACACAGTGACTAAACTTGTTGAAAATTTCTTTTCCTTTGTGTCAACGATGAGTAAATGTGCTTTTTCCCCCTCTCTTGGCCAAGAAATTTCATTTTAAACGTCAGGCAGATAAAACAAATGTCAATCTATCAGATGCGAAAAGAGTTCCGAGGAAACGGAAGTTCTAAAGTATGTATAGGTGGTATATGGGGTAATACTTGGTAATATAGGGGCGTACGATCTATGTGAAACTCTCTGCCGATATGCCAATAAAGCCATTTTCGCTTCGTTTCGTTAATCAATACAGAAAACTTATTTTTGTTATTGTCTTTTTTCCGCTTTTGTTGATTTTTGTTATATTTTTTTAGAATATTTTGTATGCCAGGAATTTAAATTAGTAGAAAATCTGGTTTGTGATTTCGGGTCTCTTCTCTCAAGTTCCCCAACTTTTTTTCCATCTCCATCTGTAGCTCGTCTGCTCACTTCTACTCGATTCTTGTTTTTGTCTGCCGGTTCTCATCCGATTTCTTCATTTTCTGCGACGTTATTACAGGTGAATTTTGTAGTTCTTTCTCAGTTTTTTTTCTTTTTTTGTATCTTGCCGTATTTTTCTGGACTTAGAACGCATGGCGAAAAAGAGCGGAATCAAAAAACAAATTAAATGAGTTTGGCTGAAATCGAAATGCTTTAGGCCATTGATCACTTATTGGTCGGCGGAGGCGATGAAGTTAAAAGGAAACAATGGAAAAATATGGGAATGGCGAGGTAGACGATGTCAGCTCGGAAACTTTGGTCATGAGAAACAGCTTTTAAGGTTTAAATAACATTTACTTAAACTTTTCTAATAATAATAATATACAAACTTAATAATTAAACACATGCTTTAAGTAAACTTATTATAAAAGTCAAATATGAAATGGGTAAATTCATTTCATTCAAATAGTAGCACTCATTAGACTTTCTATGAACAAGAGCAAAATAATGGAACATTCACGAATTTTTATTTCATTGCGAAAAAAACTTAAATTCGTGAAACAATAAAGAGATTTCTCTGTCACTTTCAGGTGCGTTTCCTGCTGTTTGTTAACGTCATTTTATGTGTTTAATTTTGAAACCCGAAAATAAATTGCTCTGTAAATGTGTACGCATTCAATGAGATCAACCAAATATATATAAATGGATAATAAAAATCGGTGATAACGAACCCGATGTAGGTCAGACGGAAAAGAGTGTTTCTTACTGGTTTCTGGCCA